GGAGTCGGGGGCTGGAGTCGGGGCGGAGGCCGGCGGCCCTGACGGCGTGTGTGCTTTGCAGATCTTCGAGTGGTGGTACTTCCGCAAGTACGGCACCTCCTTCATCGAGCAGGTCTCGGTGAGCCACCTGCGCCCCCTGCTGGGCGGGGTGGACAACAGCGCGCCCAGCGCCGCCAGCGCCGCCGGCGGGGACGCGGACTCGAACCGCCAGAGCGTCTCAGGTGAGCGGCGCCGCGCTGCCTTCGGGCTCCTGCTCCGGCCCACGAAAAGGCCGAGCTGCCTCATCCATCGCCAACTGCGTCCTCCCGAGTTCACAGACTGTGTCTTGCTCGGGCTGCGCGGTTAATGCATTTCTTTTCTCCTTGTTCTGAAAGCCCCGCGAAATCGGACGTGGCCTTTCTGCAGTGTCCTTTGTCCAGCGGAGGGGCTGGACAGAGAGAGGCAAAGAGATTAAAGGGCTGGAGTATCTCTTACGAGGAAAGGCTGAGGGAGCTGAACCCGTTCAGCCTGGAGAAAAGACAGATGAGAGGGGACTTCATCGGTGTCTGTGTGAAGGAGAGAGGGTGTCAAAGGGATGGAGCTCGGTGATGCCGAGCAATAGGACGAAAGGCAGTGGGCAAAACCTGATGCACGGGAGCTTTCACCTGAATATGAGGAAGAACTTCTTTACTGTGCAGGTGAACTTGCACTGGAACAGGTTGCCCAGAGAAGCTGTGGGGTCTCCCTCCCTTGAGATATTCCAGCACTGTGTGGATGCAATTCTGTGCCGTGTGCTCTGGGATGACCAATTTTCTGATTCTGTGATTCTAAAGGCGGGTAGTATTTTTGCTGAAATAATAAGTAATAACAAAGTTATAAGGACAAAAAAAAAATCAGCCAAGTCAGAAATGCTCATCTGGTTTTGCATCACTTTTTTTTTTTTTTTTTTTTTTTTTTAGATACTGTATGTAGTATGTAAACAGCATTGGGATTCCACCTTAGTAAGTGGAAGCATGGTGACTTTTAACAGCTTAAAGGCTTGTTACGTTCCTGACTCTGCTATGGCTTTGATCTGTGACTTTGGGCAAGTCCTAACATAGTCAAGCTCTTTTAAAAGGCCTCCAGTTTAGGAGGCATGATTTCAGGCGTTTGTGGCCTGATTCTTACAAGCTTCCAGGCATTCACAGCTCCTACAAGTTTCAGTGCAAGGAGTGAAGGTGTCTGACCCGAAGTCATTCAAGCCTGAGGCACTAATCAGGTGCCTGGTTGCCTGGGAGATGTTTCCTCTGAGAGACAGACCAGCCTGCCTAAAATGATCAAGCACTGAAAGCACTGAAGCCCCCAAGCACTGAAATCTGTGGACTGGAGGAGCTGCTTCCTCATCTGTAAAACGAAGCTTATCTGTCTCTGCCCTAGATTGGCTTATAGACCATAATCTTAATATTGGAAATCAATTAGGGGTGTGCCCCTAGAATCAACTACAATTGTATTAAATTTATTTCATCTGCAGGCCTTTAGAATATATCAGAATTTACAAGTGAAGAAAAGTGAATGAAAGGAAAAAAAAATCATTTATGGAGAAAACGTTGTTCTACAGCAGAGCTGCCTTTGTCTGTATCTGAGAAATTTTTATCTCTACTCCTCAGTGTGCATGAAAACAGGCAAACAAAAATTAGCTCTGAACTTACACGTTAAATAATGTAGGTGGCCTCACAAAACCTGTTATTTACTGAGTAAGACTAGTCAAGGAAGCCTCCATATAGCACAGCAAATTCAGCTGCTGTCACTCTCATCTGAAGGGAGGCTGTGAATAGCAGCACTGCATGGCCCAAGATATTAGATTTGGGTGAACTGGCAGAAAGCATGGGATGGCTTAGGAACACCTGTGTGCACTCATCAGTGTGCTCAGTCACTTCAGTAGCTCTGAAATAACTCCTGTCATTTTAAAGCAGAAGGCACAATATTTTGACTAATGAGGTTCACACAAGCATCTTGACATTTTTGATACAAAGAAGTAATCAAGGATTGTGTTTGCTTTCAGTGCATTGACACTGACAGAGACTCTTGGTGTCTCTGGACAGTGTGTCTTAATGGCTAGCCTGTTATTTGTGCTTTCAGAGAAGTATCAGTGCTCAAAAAGTGATCATGGAAAAAGCCTCTGAAAGGTTAAAATAAGGACACAGTTAGGTTATTAGTTTGTAATGTAGCAGAAAAGGCAATCTTTTTGGTTGACCATGCATTAACACTGGGATAGTTCTTTTGCTGTTCAACAAGATGGAGATGGCTTTTTCTCTTGGCTCACCACGTGTTCCTATGTAGATGTTTGACTATGGTAGAATGTTGCAGTAGGTACCTTTGCGTTTAGAAAGGCAGGAGAAATGACGTTGTACTGAGACCATGGTGTTTGCAGATACCAAGACAAAAGGAACTACAGAACATCATATTTAATTAGCCACACAGCCATAGCATCACCAGGACATGAAGATGGTAATAAAAGGCCCTCTTCACCTCTCCTTTTTGTTCTCCAGTTCAACCTTTCCCAGCTACAGTGCCAAAATATTTCATGCTTTGGATAAAGCATAACCACTTGAATTCAAATAAGAACAAAAAGTGTCACTGCAATCACATAGTTGTTACCCATCTCATTGGTTGCAAACAGAGTAAGTCAGCACATTGAATTATACCTCTGGAACTGAGGAGTCTGATGTTGATTTAATATTTACAATGGTTTGAAAGTCATATTATGTAAAAGCTGTCAGATTGAAGCTTGTCAAACAGCCATACCTTCTGGCTGCACAACAGAGCAGCTGAATGTCAGTCAAGCAGTTCTGCTGAGTAAACCAGTGGAACTTTCTAATATTAGCTGCCTGCTGAAATGGGTACTTGAAAGATACACTCTTCCCTAAAGCGTGCCTGTTCCTGTGTCTGTTCCATGCATATGCTGGGTAAGCAGCAAACTGGGGGCCCACCTTCTATTCCCCTTCACTAGTTTATGTGTTGCTGAGGGTGTCCTTCTGTTACTGGGAATAATTCATGTCAAATGCTTTCTGTCCATGTCACTGTAGCCCCATACTCAGATGTAGGAGCTATGTCCATGAGAAAAGAGGAGGCCTTGACTTGCTGTTCAGTACTTCTTTTTCTAACAGACCAGGCATAAAGGGAACAGACATATTGTTACCATAAGGACACCCTTCAGACTTAATCTTCTGCCAGAAAACTGTTGGTTTGATTTCTTTAGAAATGAGGTAACAAAAATTTGTAGGGAGAAATGTGCTGGTTAACATTTTTAGTGGAAAGCACCCAGTGAAATGCTGGAGGGCCAGTGCTGCTGCTGAGTTTCTGCAGAGAACCATGTGAGGGGTCATCCAGTTGCAGATCTGAGATGGAGTGACATGCTGCCTCAGTGAGTCTTTGTGCAAATAGTGGAGTTTATTCTGGTCTCACCCTCACTGGAGTGAATTGTCTTTGTTGAAATTAAGAGAATAAATCTGGTGTTAAATTAAAGGAAAATCCAGAATCAAGACTTCACTGTTTCAAAGGCTGTACAATTTGATTATATTTTTTTAATTTTTGCTTTAAATTACGTTGTTGATTTTCATATCTCTTACTTCTTGTAGTGTGAAAAATTCACATTTTTTCCCCCAAGGAAAATTTGTAAAATGTTTTTAATATTCTGAAACCTTTGCAATGCAGTCAACTTTCCTCTGCCAATCAATTTCAGCATCTGCTTCTATCTTAAGTAAGATCAGCAGGTATTTCCATGGATTTTATTTCACAAACTAAAGAGGAATCAAATTTGGCAACTGTAGCTGAGATTCATGGTGATTTACAGCATTAACTGGATAGTGATGTTTTTCTGGAGAAATAATAAGTCCATAGGGACTGAGTTAATTGCTATTTTTCAGTGCAATAACCCAGTGGGATCCCTCTTCAGTTCTGCATTATGGTAAATGTGAGTCCTGGAACTAATCAGTATTATCTTTTCATGTGGCATTTGGGGCTTTGTTAGTGGTTATTTGTCTGGAATGATTGCATTTGTTGACACTAATTTATAATTAAATTATTATTTAAGAAAGAAGGAACAGTCTGATTACTTTCATCTCAGTGCTCTTGATGGTTTTTTCATTTGCACCTATAAAAATAAGCCATTCAATGAGGCTCATTGTATGGTAACTGATGTTTTTTGTAAACCTCAAGTACCACTGTAATTTGGGAGAGATTCATTATGTGTATGTCTGCTTCTTCCAGAATGCAAAGTCTGGCGAAATCCTTTAAATCTGTTCAGAGGAGCTGAATATAATCGGTAGGTGCTGCAAAATTACATTTTTCAGGCATAGTACTGGCTTAAGGAGCTTAACTGCTTTTCCTTTAATCTAACTTAAGAGATGAAAAAACAAAATCAACTTTGGATACATGCACTCATGTCAGGTTTTTCTGTAATTCATAAAATGTTTCTGAATTAAAAAGGAATTTAAATTCATGCTGATGCATTTTCTTATTTATCTAATATTTGTTATTTCTCCAATTTTTGGCAACCTTATTAAAAAAAGATGGAGTAACCTAAGCGTGTTGTACCTGGTGTTAATGCAGCAATTCTGTTCAAATCCATTATAGCAAAAAAACCTAATGAATTCCATATAGGTTTCATGGAGTCCTAATATTTGAATATATGTGTTACCAAGTTCCTTTGTGTACTTTCCCACATCCTTACTTCCTTAGGCTCAGCTACCGTTGCTCCATCACAGTACTGTGAAATGCAGTGTATATGGGGTGGAAGGCTGGCCAGGTGTATTTACTTGGCTATGCCCATCTCAAAGGTCTAGAATTATTTTCTGGATTTGTTTTGCCAAGTGTTACCTCATTAACCAAAATGTCTCCTTGTTGTCACGTTTGCAGGTATACATGGGTTACAGGAAGGGAGCCTTTGACTTACTACGATATGAATCTTTCGGCACAGGACCACCAGACGTTCTTTACGTGTGACACAGATCATTTACGGCCTGCAGATGCTAGTAAGAGACCTTGTGCACAAATGCTTTTGCTAATAGATTAACAACTGATTTAATCTGATGCAAGGAAAATGCAGTGAGGCATCAGTTCTTTTGCGTAGATAAGAAAAGGCAAAAGTTTGATCATGCTGGGGAACCACTGTTATTGAATTTATAGAATTCTAGGTCTGAACAAGTGTCTATATATGTAAATGATCTAATTTATGTTGCTGTGTTGTTTTGCTGTGTTGCTGGAGTCATTCAAAATACCATTTAAAAGTGCAAAGGCTTGTTCCTTTCCTCCTCTATCTTGCAGTGGCTTCAGGCATATATACCTTAATTTGCCTCCAGTTGCAGTGCAGTAGGTTGAGTTATATTATTCAGGTTCCATTTAGCTTACACTGACAGAAGAGAGAGAGCTGATACAAAGTTTGAGACCTGTGTTTCATTCCCTGATGTAGTTAGGTCTGTAAAAAATGGGAACATCACATTTACAACTGAATTTGTATAAGCAGCTTTAGTTGTGTTAAGCCTGTACCATGAAGTCCACACACAGACTTTGATTCTACTAAAAATGTACAACAATTATTTCAGTTGTTAGAATTTGCCTTTGAAGAGATAAATCTTTGTCTCTTAGGAAGGGAGAGATAGTAATAGTTGAGTGCTCCATTCTGAAGGCATAGTAAGGTAGGAGAGCATATTGTGGTTTTTTGACACTTGATAAACATTAATCCTATTTTCTGAACTCAGTGGTGTAATTATGAGGTGGTAATATTAGCCTGGAAGTTGAGTTCCATTTAGCATTCACATAAAGCAATAGCACCATAAGGAGCTAGAATAAGAATCCCAGCTATCCCTTTATTGTTTTGTTCCCTGTGGAATCTACTACACCAAGATGAAGTAGCTGTTTGTCACCTCTGTACTTGGCACTGCAGACAGCCTGATCTCTCAGCCAGACTTCCTCTGGAAAGAAGTTTAATTAAATGAAAGAATAAGAAAAACACCGAGTGTTTGGGACAAAAGCTCCTGTTTGTTATGTATCTTTTCGAATGATCATTGAACTGTATGAAGTACTCTGTAGTGAGTTAGGCTGAGATCAATAAATTCTGTTGTTACAGTGCAGTAGATTCTCCTTGTTAATCCTGTAATAACTGATATTTCTCTCTTCTCCTTTGTTTATTGAATAGTAATGCAAAAAGCCTGGAGAGAGAGAAACCCTCAAGCCCGAATTTCTGCAGCACATGAAGCTTTGGAATTAAATGAGTGAGTGACAATAACATTAACATTTCCTGTCTTTTAAAAATCCATTCGATGATATTTTAAGGCCAGGGGTTTGCTATAGTAATTTTTAGCCACAATTACAGGCCTATAAAAGGAAAACCTACAAGAGAAAGAAAACAGCACAGCTGCATGTTGTGCTAGCTATCCAGAAGATCCTTACAGTAGTGATGACAATGGGAGTCTTCCCATTGATGTCAGCAAGCTTTGGAACAGCATAGAAAAATGGTAATTAACTTACCTCCTGATGAACATATGAAATATGTATTTACAGGATGGAGAGTTCCCTTTTGGATTTCTCAGTTGTCAAGAACAGAAGCAGGAAAGAAGAGACTCATAAACACATTCTGAAATACTCATTTCATAGTATGAGAGAATATGATGTAATTTGCTGTGACTTTTGGTTCTTGAGTCTTTTATTTCTTCAATGAGAACTGTATTTTGAGATCCCACAATAAACTCAGTGCTGTGATGATTTACTGGTATGGCAAACTGTATAAATGTTGCTAACATGCATAAAGGGAATCCCTTAGGTTGCTGAACTGAGATTTCTACCTTCTAAAATTCCATAAACTGGTGTTTTACAGATTGTCCTTCATGTGTTTAATCAGAAGAAGAGAAAGAATTGTTTTTTCTTGTTAGGGATTTAACATGCAGCATAAAAGGGGAAAGTGAGCTGTAAATCTGTCCTCCTCACATTTCACAGAATTACAGAATGGTTGAGATTAGCAGGGATCTCTGGAGGTCAGTATCTAACCCCGCCCTTCAAACAGGGCCACCTACAATGCATTGCAAAGGACCATGTCCAGCAGGCTTGACAACTTCCTTGTACCAGTGCTCAGTCACCTTTACAATAAAAAAAGTGTTTCTGATGTTCAGGGGAAACCTCCTGTGGCTCATTTTGTGCCCATTGCCTCTGGTCCTGTCACTGGAAGCCACTAAAAAGAGCCTGGCACTTTCTTCTTTTCCCCCTCACTGCAGGTATTTGCAAACTTTGACAAATTCCCCCCCAGGGCTTTTCTTCTCCAGACTGAAAAGTCCCAGCTCTCTGAGCCTTTTCTCATATGTGAGATGCCCCTAATCACCTTCATGGCTCTTCATTGAACTCTCTGCAATACATCCATGTCCCCCTTGTACTGGGGAGCCCAGGAGTGGACACAGCACACCCACATGTGGCCTCATCAGGGCTGACTAGAGAGATCATCCTTCCTCTCTAGGGGAAGGATCAACTCCCCCAACTAGAGTGGAAACACTAGTGCAGCTCTGCTGCAAGGGCACATTGCTGGTTTGGTTTTTGCTTGGTCTGGGGTGGGTTGTCTTTGCTATTATTGTTGTTTTATTTTTACTACTAAATTTATAATCCATTCTTTTTATATAACAGGTGATACAGTTCTATTGATTCTTTCTATATCATTACAGTAAGGGATATGGTTTATATTAAAACACTAGTGCATAAAGCTAGTCTTGATTTCCAGAAGGAGTTTTAGAGATGCAGGCTCAGTGAGACAGTGCTTTACTTTCTGGGACAGTTGTCGATGTACAGTGTACTCAAGGGCTGAGTGAGACAATATCTAAAAATGAGTTATGGTGTTGTTGACAGAATATTTATTCATCAGAATAGTTCATCAGAAAGGTACATGGACAACATTTCATTACCTCTGTATTTAGAACATCCTTGCCAGTCTGCAGGTCTTCATATAGTTTTTACTTCATGTACCTTTCTCATGGTATTTCCTCTGATATTTTTGCAGGTGTGCTACTGCTTATATTCTCTTAGCTGAAGAGGAAGCAACAACAATTGTAGAGGCAGAGAAGCTGTTCAAGCAGGCTCTGAAAGCTGGAGAGGGCTGTTACAGGCGCAGTCAGCAGCTACAGCACCATGGTGCCCAATATGAAGCCCAACACAGTAAGTTTTACAGGAGGGAGAGATCTTCCAAAGAGTTCTTTGGACTTGGGATTTTGGGATTTTTTTTTTTTGTTTTCCCCCTAAGAACTCTACACTCAGTGTTTGACATTGGCTGGAATGTGGCCCTAGAGCCAGACTATTCTGTTTTAGTGTTTTTGCTTGATTCTGTTGCTGAGCTGTCAATTTTCAGATTACGGAAACAAAATAAAGGATGTGCCTTTATTTTGTTATGGCAGAAGATAATTTAGCTTGTACTTAGCAGGAAAAAAAAGGTGTCAGAGCCAAAGAAGTATGACATTCAGAAAAAGCTGAGCATCCTTTAAAGAAGTTGCCTTTAGCCATTTTGCAAACCTGGGCTCATACTGTGAAAAGGCAGTATAGAATGGTGGAAACAGGGGTGAATTGATGCTTTGCCAGAGCTTTTTTCCATCAGCTCTGGGGGCAAATGCTTACACTGTGTTGTTCTGTGTAGAAGTTAATGAGACCCATTAGCCAGTGGGACATTTGAAGTTAGTTGCATTTATTAAGAAAGGTCACAGAAACATAAAATTTAACAACTGGAATAATAACGTGCTTTAATTGAAAGTCTAGATTTTTGTTACTTTCTTAAAAGTTTTGAATAAGCAGATTTATCTGCTGTGCTATTTATTAGATACTTCTTAAATCTAAGAAAATATGTTCACTGACTGTAAACGACCAAAAGATAATAAAGCAAACAGTCAAGGTTATTTCTAGACTATAATGGATACCTTAGGCAAAAATAACTCAAATTAATTACATAAATACAAGCACTGTCTTACTTTTGGGCATCTTCAGGTTTCTGAGGACCTGATTTCACAGCCTCTGGCTATCTTACGTAATTTGAAGATTACTGATAAAAACTGTACATAGTAAAATTGTCTGGTTTTAAAAGCGTATGCAAGTCTATACCTAAAAACCCGAGGTTTCATAAAGCCTGGGGGTAGTATTTTAAACATTTGTTGGTTGTAAAATTACATTTAGGCTGAATTGTTCATTTTCGGTGAAAGTAAAAATATAGAGCAGCTGAGCCCTTGAAGCAATTTTTGGGCTCTATAAGCTGAGCAGGTTTATGGTTGTGTGTGAAACCTTAATTTGTGCACTCAATCCATCCTGTGTGCAGCAATTCTATGAAAAGTACACAATAAGTAATTACTGAGCAATGTCACAGTGTTTTTGTCCAAGGTAACCTGGGAAAGTTTGTGCAGGCAGACACAAGTATGGTATTTCTGTAACCCATGTGTACTAGGTGGCTGCCGTCATCATCAGATTTGACATCCTGAACCTTCAGTAGTGCTGCAGAGGAAGTAACCCATTGAATCACAAAACTAAGTGCATTGTCACAGAGCAGGGAGGCTGAAAAGTGACTTCCAGCTCTGATTGTATCTTCAGGAGGGGCTAGATCATCCCACTGTTCTGTACCACTTGGTCTGCCCTTGAAAATGTCAGTGTGCACCCCCAGAAATTAGAGAATCTCCAGCATCAGATGTTGCCTTGGACACAGGGGCTTCTCGTAGAATATTTATGATTATATGCTGGATTTCGGCATGGTTTATGAAGGTGGAGAGGAGAGACTGTGGAGGAGAGACATGTGCTGCAGTTCCATGGTTCTGAGAAGTCTTGCATTCCATTTCACGGTCTTCAGAGTTAATTCTGGGATGAAAAGTGGGCATTTCATCTTTTAAAGGTGAAATACACTGTAATGTCTTGAACAACAACATATTGTTCTATGTTTCTGTTTATTCATATATTTCACCTCCTTCATAAAATATTTTGTTAGACCATAAACAGTAAATAATAGCTTTTAAGAATAAATAATGACTTTGAATACCCAACTTGCCATCTTTCAAATGGTGATAGATTATAGGAAGCAAGGGCAATTTTATTTTTAAGGTTGCTCATGTTAGGCATCTCAAGTCATTAGCAACCTCAGAGAATTTTGGCCTGAAAAATTATCTTGATATCATAGTAAATAGATGACTTTTGACCATTCCTGTTTAAAATCCTGAAAAGAAGCTTAAACTTAAATGTATACCTCATAGCACACTACATAAACATGTTGAAACAGATGTAACTAATAAAATTGTGTATTAAATATATAAGAATCAATAAAGAGATAAGGAATTAGGTAATAAAGAATACAGCTAAAGAAATTCTTCTCTCCTTATTTATTTTTTCCTCTAAAGTAAGTCCTTTCGAGCTGCTGCTTAATCTATTTGAAAATTTTAATCACAGCTTTAGAATGATTTGTAGGTACTTGGAATGTTTTCAGCACACATGTTTTTCTTATTATGAAAGGCTTGAAAATGCTAGGAATAGGCTAAAATCGTTACAAACCACATGCTATACACAGAGATAATTTGTAGCAGGTGTCTTACATTTTCATGATTCAGTAATTTTATAGATGATTATCTGTCTATTCATTTCCTGTTGGTCAAGAAGTATTTTAAGAGCTTACATTCAAAGCAAATGAGAAGTGAAAGGAGTAGGAATTCTCCAAGAGAATAATTATAACTGCTGTTTAGTTTCTGTCATCTTTGCTGTTGAGGAATCTTCTGGCACACAGGACTATCATATCTGAAATATATTAATTTGCCATCTGTAATTAGTGGTGTGAGGAATTTGAAGATGATAATTGGGTAATGGGTAAAGGCTATAAACAAAAAGTTCAGAGTATACTTCTCTTCTAATCATTAAGAAGAAGATTGTTAGGAGGATGAAGATTTACTTTAATACATCTTGTTAATAAACATGTACATAACTGTACCTTCAGATCTGCTTATATTTCACTAGTGCAAGGCCAGCCTAGAAGTACCTATTTATACCACTGTATATCTGGATTATTTCCACTGATTTCAGTGCTATTATGGCACATCTACATCTTCAGAATTTGGTAATATTTTATTAAAATTCTTGTGAAGGCATTGATAGTAGTGAGTAAGAAGAAGATTGAAAGTAAACTGTGTTTCCCTTTGTGTTGGTATACTAAATGAACCTTTGTTTTATCTTTTTTGTCTTAATGCTGTTTCTTTTTCCTCTTACACAGGAAGGGACACCAATGTGTTAGTATATATTAAAAGAAGGCTGGCAATGTGTGCAAGGAAGCTGGGAAGGACCAGGGAAGCAGTGAAAATGATGAGAGATGTGAGTTTGGATTTCTTTTGCACATGTGATTTACATAATAGTAGTATAGATATGATACATTTTATATTAGTTAGCAAGAATTAACAAGCAAGCATTCCTGCTTCATTCAGCACTGCTGATAGTTCTTTTGTATGTGTAATGTTCATAAAGACTAACTTAAGTGATCATTTAATTATAAGGTTATGAAAGCAACATCAAATACCAGATGGATGGTTACCCATGCAGACTGAATTTCCCATCCTGGTACATGTGCAATGAAGTGCGGTCTTTAATTGTTTGATCACTAAGTTAGTAATATTTTTTTTCTGAGCCATGTGGTGAATGCTGCTGACTTCATAAGTGGGTCTTAAGTATTCTGTTTTCTCCTTCAAAGCTGCAGTTTGGCTCTATTTGTGTCACACTATTCAGCTCTGAGGACAGTGTTACTTCTTAATGCAAAACCTATCACTGAAAAGTCAAGCCCCAAGTAATGAATCTGTAATTAGCTGAACCCCCTCTGAGATAGGGGCTGACTATTCTGTCTCTGTAGGCAGGGGAGCTACCAATTACCAGTCAGTAAGCTGCAATGCTACAGACTTGAAACACTGAACAGGAGCTATTTCGGAGATGGCAGAAGGGGCAGCAGTTCACATTAGGCAACGTACATGTTTAAAATATGTAAAATACTCAAGTTTAGATGTAGCAGTGGATGCCAAGCATTTCTTTCAGTGATATTCCCAGGATGCAGATTAGGATCACAGTTCTTTGAGAAGATGACTTATATTACCTGAGGTAGCAAGCCTGTGACAGAAGGAGGAATGGAGCCCTGCAGCTCTGGGCAATGATGGTAAAACTGCCTCCCAGTTTCCTTTGTTTCTTACACTTCATATTCCAGCTCCCACAAAAAAAAAAATAAAACAGAAGAGATTAATCCAGCAAGATACATAGTTCTGTAAATTGGGATTCAGGTGTTAAATTTTAAATGCACAAAATGAAATCCCAGACCTGAGTGAAGCACCTGTAACGTGTTCTTTAGGCAGCTCTGATGAATGGTCCAGGAACCTGCCTAGTGAGGAGGGAAATTCTTGTTACATGTCAGTGGGAATTTTTATGTATATAGGAAAGCGACTTTCTCTGGAGCTGAGACACTTGCATCAGGGGCAATAGGGCAAATGTGTTTGCCAGCTTGGAATCCAGGACTCCTCCTCCTGCAGCTGGAGCACTCATGAGTATTTTTTGAAAACACTGAGCAGAGTTCACTGTAATAATGCAGGTTTTCATCCTAAATATCTACAGATGGCAAGTGGTGAGTAACTTTGTTTTCTGACTCTTGCTGAGACTCTTCAGGCACACAACTCTCAGTCTCCAGAATCACTGGAAACCCAGACAAAGGTGTTGAAAAAGAGCTTGTCAAAAAAACAGCCATTGTACAGCTAGGAGTGTGAGAAAGAGGGATGAGGAAGAAGGACCTGATTTAGCAGTCTTCTGGTCAGCTGGGAGAATGTTGATTTCAAAAACATTGTTTTCAGTCCAGCCAGCTCCGCCTATTCTTTATGAATTTTGTTACACAAGCACTGTGGGATGAATACTGAAATGTTTTTGGGACAGACATTGGAATTCTAAGTTCTGGCATTAATACACAAGAAAGATAAAATTTTGAATTACCCATTCAAATATCACACATCATAATTATGGCAAATTCTGGAGCTTACTCTGGGCTGCTGAATGTGTTTTGTGATTTGTAGATAGGGCTATGGGGATTGGATACTCTGTGAAGCATTCTTCTGCTGATGTCAATATGTATGGATAGCTGTGTATGCAGAACACTTAGTTTGGGGACTTGGGTGGTCTGTCTAGTCCTAGGTTTCTTCTGCAAAGTGAGAAACAGTTTTGATTAGTGAATGACTTATTGTTTCACTAGAGATAAAACTGTCTGAAATTAATAAGCAAAATAGAAAATTGTTGAAATTAAGTACAATGTGGATCTCAAGAAGCAGCAATAACAGGGAGATCCAAAGTCATCAATTATTAGACACTTGAAGAACAGAAAACACTCAATGTTTTGAGTCTTGTGAAAACACAGGAATGTTTTGTTAAAATGAAAGGACTGGATGCAAGACAAAGAAGGTATAAAGATGCAATCTCATCTTAGAGAGTTTCAACTCAGATCAATGCATTCTGTGTTTTTCCACATACAGACACTGAGACAAATCCTCAGAACTGGATTTAGATGCCTCTAGAGCTCTTCATTTTAAGCAAGCAGAGCTGAGAATTATCAAGTCTCTAGATGTAATATTAAAGCAGTAGTAACTCTAGGTCACAGCTCCAGTACACTGGGAGCAAGATTAGGGTCAAGTCAGCTTTGCAGATGCTTCTCTTAGACTGGCTTGGAGCTACTTATTTCTGATGAAGGCATATTCTCCATTTCTTCATAGAAGTCATAAATAGTACACTTACAGAGAGGTTTGAAGAACATGAATCTGTCATTGAAGGTTTCTTTGTGATTGATGAGGAAGGAGATGAATTTATTCATCCTAAAAAGAATACGAAGAATATGTTGGCTAGGGACTGCTGAATCTAACATTAGGGAACAGAGGGCGGAGGTCCTGTTTGTGTTTGAAAGATTGAAAACAGGTTTCTCAAGACATGGAACATGATGGAAATGAGGTGTTAAGAGGTTCATGACACCATCTGGGAAATATGATTGGGATGTAGTGAGTCTTTGCCACTTCGAAAAAATAAAATATTTTGAGAGTGTTTAATTTATTGCATATATGAGGCCATCTTGAGGACATTACTGATGGATTAGATTGTCTTGCTTGAGAAAAGACTGAGATTCTACTTAAAGCACATTAATGGAAGGAAATTGAGCTGCTGGTGACTTAAATAACAGTTAGATTTTATGGTTATATACACTGCTGATAGGAAAATCATATTTCTTAATATTATATTGAAGGTATTTAAAACCTGGGGCTTTTTTTAAAACTGATTCTAAAAACTGTTTAAAATCAAGGGTGCTTTAATTTTAAAAAAACTGGGTGGGAATTTCTGTTGCTTTTATGATTGATTTTGAAATGGTATTTTTTTGCTGTCTTTGCTGCTTGGATGTAATTCTTTCAGTTGAGTTGAATTAATGAGAATTACAAACCTGTTGTTTCCATGGAGGCATGTGATGGAGTCATACATAGGTGTTGCTTTTGCTTGTATTTCTGATGATAATTATTTACTATATTTTGCTATAGAAACCAGCAGCTGTCACTATTTGTATATACTGAGTTAACTTGTGATCTCATTTTGATTAGTGTATTGTTGGAAGAACTCCAATGTAGTCAACAGAATTATTCCAGTTTTATTATTGTTTATGCAGAGCATGATATGGTCTGTGAGGGAACTAGATTGCTTTTACTGCCCCCGAGGAGAAAGGCTACAGTGTTGGTTGTTTTATTTGTTGTGCTGATTATGTTAGGAGGATTTTAGGTAGTTTGTTCTAAATGATGCTGGAGAATGATGTTTAGTGTGTGCAGAGGCGAAAGGCCATAATGGTGGCTGTGAGTAATCTTCAGTATACCTTCATGTTGAATCTTCTTCTTGGACAATGTTGCAAGCCAGTAGTGGTAGTGAGCAAGGGTAGACTTTTGTGCCACCTGATTTCCATCTGCTCTTTTCAGATTCCCTCACCATTACAGTGGAAGAAAACAGGAATGTGCTAGGTTTGCATTTTGTGTTTTTCATTGATTGAAAACAGAGAGGATGTGGAGGGTATCACAAAGGCACTTCCCTCTGCTTTGTGGGCAACTGAATCAGTGACATCACCACTGAATTCAGGAGCAGGCCAATACAGTCATTTTTTCTTAACTGGGTCTACTGGAATATCCAGATGAAAAAGTACCATGAAAGAAAATGAATTGTCAAATTAATTGGAGCTTCTTGGGATTGTTATAGACAACATTTGGTGGAACAAGCTTTAATTGAAGGGAGATGTATGTTTATAGAAGAGAAGGGTGGCAGGCAAAAGGTATGCTAAAAAAAAAAAAGGTATGCTAAAAGTGGAAGTTCTTAATTGCTTCCTCCTTCAGAGAGAAGATGAAAGAAACTCATTCTAGAGTGTATTTATCTCCTGCCCCATGGGCATGCATTCCCTTGAAGATTGCTTTGTGTTCTTATTTAGTATATATTACTGAGACACAGTGGAATTGCAGCTTGCTCTGTGCTCAGCAACTTTGTTCAGAATTGAGTGAGGGCTACGGAGAGAAGACGGTCTCCAGGTCTTCCTTAAGTCTGGAGAAGGATAGAAAGAAAAACACTTTTACAGGATCAGAAAAGTGTATTTTATTTCTAGTATTAGTCATATCAGCTGAGAAATTATTTTCCAGATCACAATAAAGGATCTAGAAGTCTGCTTCTACATCTTTAGCTCTGAGAACCTTGCTAAGGATATTTCAGTTGAATGGGCTTGTGTGTTCATCTTGGTGCTCACCTGCAGTCATTAAATGCATATTTTATGCCACAGAAGACACCTAAGCAGCTAGTATTGTCAGGAGTGCTGCATGATTATCCACTGACTGCATGAAAAGTTGTGTGAACAGTTGGGCTGCCCTAAGCATCTGAAATAGTTTGAGAGGTTATGTCACTTGAAGGGTTTGAAAGGGTACTCAGCCACACTAAATCAATTCTAATGATATGGGTAGGTTGGGTTTTTATCTCCTTCTGATCAGTTGTATTAGAGATTTTTGCTGGTGTGATAGTTCTGCAAACCTAGCATAATTTCTTGGCAGCTTCTTTTGCTGAGCTTTGAATGAGGATTTCTATTCAATATTCTATTGAATTCTATATTCTTGCGTGCATTGCTGATTACTTCTTGAGTAAGACAAATACGTAGCAAGAACAGTGTTCTGCACCTCAAATTATCAAGTTGTGTGAACAAAGAGAGTATTTATTCCTAATAAAGATGTTATGATCCCTAGCAACTTAACAACACAATTTCTGCAGCTACTTGCATCGTCAGCTGCTGTCTGTCTCTC